TCTTTTTATCAAAACTGAACGAAAAAACCGCTTACCGGTCAATCGTTCGCTGTCACCTCACATTTACACATCGTTCTGTGTCACCATACTTGTGTTTGGTTCTTCTATATCCTTGTTAAACGATACAGTTAACCAAGGATCGTTACTTTGAAGCTGGATAAAATCGATAATAGAAATATTCTCATTTCTACACTTCTATTGGATAAAAACCGATAAATAAAAGTTTATTACACACCATTAACATTGCCTGGTGCCTCTGAACAATGGAATGTGCTAAACCAAGACTGATAATCTAAATTATTGCAGAAATTTTTAACAAAAGTTGATTCCGAAATTAATTTATGCTAGCTAGTAGCACTGTCCGAATCTGTCAGTTTTCGCAAACCAGTTAATCCCAAATTGTATCTTTCCACCGACATCTTCACGAGATCAGCATTGCACATACCAGTACTCTATTGCTGCTGTTATCTATTAGCTCGAGTCTGCATCCGTGTTGATTCTGATCTGACAGGTTGAAAACACTGTCCAGTTCAAAAGAAAAGTCTACCAATAACGTGCTTAGCCTCGTACAAAGGTAGTGCCAGCCATTGTCACGTGGGACGAATTCACTAGTCTTAATTAAGTCCACGTCTACTATCAATCGACGATAATACATCTTATCAATATGGGCCACGAAGTAAACGAGAACTGTTGTGTAACAACCCTATACTGATACTCTCATAATAGAAAACGTCATTCCATTCAGTATAACAACTCTGTCTAGATCACCAGCCTCCCCGTTGTGCAAGTCAACTGGGATAATGCCAAGAGATCCGGTGTACACCCATATCGCCAAAGCCTACATGGGTCTAATCGGATCTTGCACATATTGCCTTAAAAAGTCGCTCCAGCACATTCACAGAACTCATCAGTTGTTTCATTCTTTACCGAACCCGTGTTATGCTGTCCGCTTCTCGTCAGTAACAAAAGGGAATCGCTTATTCTTGGTTCTTTCAGCAGTTTTCCAAATAAACGACACTAACCTTCAGAGCAGTAGTGCTTAAAGAGACATCTTGCTCAATATTTCACAGTGGTGACGCTCGTTACAAGACCGTAACTGATTTCCATTTTCCTTATTTGAATCACACCTGATTTGCATAATAAACAACAGTTCATCGTAATTGTTCACGTAGGTTCTTGCAATACAGAAATTCTGGACAGTAATCCGTGAGCAAGAATGATATATACCTAACCCAAAACATTCGGTTTAAGAATGGGCATGTAAAATGACTTGACATCACGCAGTTTAATTCGCCGTCATTGGCTTGTTCCAAGTCCCACGGGTGAAGGTTCGAACCATGGCATCAGTATCCGAATTTCGTGGTAAGCAGCTTCACGGCGGTCTCTCCTAAAACATTTTGGGACGTCATATAGTGTGGTACTGCAAGACCAAAGCCGTCCGTTTGTATAACCTTTTACTGCGGCTGGTTCCTTGGAAAGGATAAGCCGGCTCCAGACATGATCATGATCTTGAAGTTACATGGGAGCGTGGTACAAGAGCCGTATCCAGCGTCATTCGGCTAGTTTTATTTTGAGGCCGTACCTCTACCTTTGCACAACCAAGTGCAAATTGCAAGGCAGCAGGGAGTAATCCCTCGCATTGGAAGCGAGAACGTCAATGACTTTAGTTTTAAAAGGTCAGTCACATCGACCTTTGTCACGACACCGTCATTGGGCTTGTGCGGCTTTTAAACAGGAGCCAGGTGACCAGCCTGAAACCCACCATATCCCGGTAGTGCCGCCGCCGTTTGTCCGCTACTGCTTATTTGTTGCGGTATGCCACAACTCATTCCCAGCTAACCTTGTTCGGTGAAGATATTCCTCATCCGCAACCCGCGGACACGCATTGTAGCATTCAGCTCTCTTAACCAGAGGGTATCCAGGTAACCAAACAGAACCTGCTCGTGAAAATACAGTTCGTCCATTCTATTGATTATAACAATGCCATATGTTGAAAAAGAACTGTTTGCATTCATTTGATGCTCATTCAACCTCCCAAGTAACCGTGAGCTGAGTTAAGGCTACAAAAATATCCACTTCGCCATATAAAGACTCAGTATATTGCGCTGAGTGTGAAGCTCACTTAATTTAATCAGAGAGTTTGCTATTACCTTTGAAAGTCGCTCGTTACATCCAAAGTTGTTACGCGGCTACTCTTGTATATGACTGATATATGACATATATGATACATGATATATATATATATATATATATGGCATATGACTAATACTCTACTTGTAGCCACATCCAAGCTCGACAGCGAATTTACAACCCTGAGCCTACACCTCAAAGAAACTAACACACTTTTATTGCACACCAGTGTACGTTAAAGAACAGAATATGCAAATGCCGTA